TTGCTACAAGTCGGCGAAGAGTGGTCAGTTTTACCGCGATTGTAACAGTCACAGCGCCCAATTGAGTGGGCGGTTATTCGCTTATCGACTAAGGAACCTAAGCTTTGCTGAAGGGATAAGAAGATGAAAGAGATCTGGGAGAGCAACTGTTCTTCTCGAGGTATTCTTGATTACGCATCGCTTGATGTCGCTCGAACAGGCAAGGTGGGACGAGGTTGTAGATAAATGATGCATAGCAACGGAAGGGGCGTGGTAGTGGCATGTGTTTGTTTTACAGGCGCGCAGCATCCTGTCAACCGTGGCACAGCGAACACGAGCAGCCAACGGAGGCTGATGGAAGCTGTCCAACTCAGGCGTGTAATCCACCACTTAGAGACAACTAGCGTATGGGACTAGTAAAGAAACCCGCCCTGCAGCTTGTGTCAAGGGCACCGGTTCCGCTTGTCCAGCTAAATCCCGACAACCAGACAACAAAATGCTGGGAGAATTCCTGCCCCGTGAAACACGATGGACAAAGGAATGAATGTGCCATTGAGACACGGAATGGGGAAATGGAAAACAAATGCTTACTGTCCGGATACTCTAGCACTTATGCCCAGGCCCGTAGCCGCATGAGATGCAGACAGAGGTTGGTCAATGTCGTTCTTGCTGTCGCTGTCGTCGTCGAGGAACTCGAACCTGGTGGGAGCGGCACGCCTGAGAGGAGCGAGCTTGGTTTGGGCGGGCATTTTCAGGTTTTAACCCAAGTTGATATCCTGTTGTCTTCCTAGTCCACGATCTTCTGCGCTTATGCTGGGTAGGTTGCAAGATCGTCAAGCGCCGGGCACGGGTTGGAGCATAAACAACCTCGAGAGCCGAGACGGGCGTTTTCTAGCTTGGTCGAATGCTTCGGGTATGGTATTAGATATTAAATATTGTGAAGAAGAAGGCCAGAGTCGGGACCAAGAATTCCGAACTCAAAATATCTGAGCGAGTGTCTGCCAACCCGGCCAGCAGGGATGCGTTTCAGTCTAGAGAGGCCTGGAACGAAAAGGTCTTGGGATTGAACGAATCGTCAGGATGCGAGAGGTGGCCGGCAGTATTTAAGCGTGGCCGTTTCCCGCGACCCGGAGAACAAGTCGACCGTGTCTGGTGCTTTGTGAACCCGGGGGGGAAATAAACTTTTTGCTGAACCGTCGTACCTGTCCGTATGTATGGCTAGTCGCTCACCCCCAGACGGCCCCCAGGTCTGATGCTATGTCCAATCCCAAAGTAAGGACTGGCGTAACGCGTTGCGAGATTCTGTTTGGGATGCTGAGCCGTTGGCTGTCGTTGATGGGTGAAGTTGAAACAACCTGGGGTCGCTCGTGATTGGTTGAAAGGAAGCGGTACCAGAAGATTGGAATGGACGATGCGAAAATTGTGCGAAGGAAGGGAGAAAGGCACGATGTAAAAGGAAGAAGCAGCGGAAGATTGAGGAACCACCTACAAACTTAGTCTTGGTCGCTTTTTCAAATTCCTTCGAATTCGATACTTCTCTATGATCCATCCTGCATGATATAAGATTATTCAGGACCGTTGAAACTCCCGAGCTCCCATCCCAAGATGTGAGGTGAATTGGGTGACCAGACGGCGGTTGATCAACGCCCAGCACCGAACCCCAGCAATGGAACCATCCATAACTAGGTAGCAGCCCTGTTACCCCATACTGTTCCTGTAAACAAACCTGGTATTTCCCCTGCTCATCTTGCTGACTGCCCTACAGCGGGCTAGTTTCTTGATTCCTGGCCCCTCGCGAAACGTCACTTCACCACATCCGCGGTCTTGTAGGTTTTCTGTTTGTCGTCATTGTCGAGGTTGCAATCGGCGGAAGGTATTCTTCTGTCTGTTCGCCTCTTCCTCGGCGTTGGAAGAATAACTTGACGGTAGATTGCTCTTCCAAGTTTTGTCAACAAACGGCAGGATGGAAGATGAAGGGAATGTTCCATGTTTCACAACTTAGGTTGGATGGTCAACCACGATAAACGTCGAACATCCCCGCTTCACCCGCAATTTGTTTGGATGAACGTTACTTCCCACCAGTTCTGTACCTGCGTCGAATTGTGGACGCCGCTTGCAGGGGTGAGCTCGTAGCTCACAGCAGCCCACAGCGGCAGAGCGCTCATCCAACATCACGCGCACGGACCCGTCCGGATTCCACTTCTTTACACTGTCCAACATTTTGAGAGGTGCCAGATGCTTTCTTTTTCCCGTTCCAGTATCTTTTCTTTTTGTGCTCTGCTCACCTGTTGCTTATTTCGATCGATAATTGAGGATGATTTCGATTTTCTTGGGAAATTGTTTCTTCGTTGCAAACTCGTCCAGAATGCTCTCTGCCGTATCTTTCGTCGCCGTCGGCCCACATTTAAGTTCTGGTTTTGGAGACGGAGTTCATCAAGCCTGCCCGGGTTGCGGTACGGGTCAAGTTTGGCTCTGGGCTACAGCGCATACAACCATTAAGTAATCTTCTTGACTCGACTGAGTCGGAGTTCAACACAAAGAAAGAGTACATCGAAAGGCTTTCACCCGATTCTCAAGACAAAGTCACGAGCTCCATCCAGAACAAACTCCTCTATTTCCATCCTACTCACCCTACGCCCTTGGAGAAAGAGGTAACACCACCCACCGCGTCCATCAACTTGTTTGTCAACAAATCATCATCATACTTCATCCATACAGCGGTATCGGAGTGCCTAACTCACGTGCACCCGTTAGCAAAGGGTCGTTTTGATACCGGAGATAGGTCACATACCTGATCAGCCGTACTTCTCCCGCTATCATACTTCACGAGGCCACTTATCAGTTCCCTCCAATCCTCAGTTACATCCGGAAGAATTTTGTCCCATGAGCGACATTCGAACTCGCGGTAGATGTCAAAGGGAGGCGTCCTAAAGCTCAAGGCCTCGGGCCAGCTCTCCCTCGTAGGTGACCCAATGGTCTTGAATATGCTAAGAATGAGACCCAGTTGATTCCCGTCCTCATGCACAGCTCGGGACTCGAATAGGTGCTTGTTCGCCCCTCTTCTGCAGCACTCGGCAAGCATCACGCCTGCTCCCCACATGTCGACAGGAGGCCCATACGAGTGATTCCCGAACAAGACTTCGGGGGCTCGGTAGGGGCCGGTACCAATATCCAAGATCTTGTTGTCTGCGGGCTCCGTGGCTGCTGACAGGGTCGGATGCCAGGAGGCTCCAAAGTCGGAAAGGTAGGCTGGCCCTGTGGGGGATTCAAGGAGAATAGCCGAAGGCTTGACATCGCGGTGGATGATTCCCTGGCTATGTAAAGAGGCCAAAGCAGTAAGGACATCCCTGAAAATGATGCGGATTTGGCTGTCTGTGAGGGGCGCCCGCTCCCGGAGGCTCTCAAGAGTCAGCGGCATGTATGGAAAGACTAAGACCAGACGCTGTTCGTAGTCTCGAAAGGTGTCGAGCAAAGGGATGCATGGCTTGCTTAAGAGGCCCAGGAGCTTTGCCTCTCGTGTTGGATTGTGAGGCTCAATGTTTCTAGTCTCAACGATGACCTTGAGCGCCCTGTCGCCGGCTCTGTAGACATCGGCAGTCACGCCGCTCGTGATGTAGTAGCAGTTTTGATAGTCACCAATGGTAACTCCAGGATCCACTTCGGCGTTCCCATCTTCATCCTGTTCGTTAGAAACAGCCGTTGCGGCCTGATCTGCCTCAGAAGATCCAAAAGGGGACTGGTTGCAAAACTCATCATACTCCTCCCTGGTGCGCGCAGATTCATAGGCGTTTTTCTCCAGGACAAAGGCGTTTTCACTCAGCCCTGCCGCGGCCACAAACTGCTGTCTTGTTAATTGATAAGCATATGTGTCAGGTGATGTGCAAAGAGCGACTTACAGTTTCTGGATACTGTCATATCGTTCTGAGGCCGTCAGGCTTTGTTTCCAGGTCATCCCGGGACTCTCGGGAGGAGAATGGGACATGTTGAAATATTTCCAGTCACCCTACCCAAAAAGAGGAGTGCACGATGTGTCCACGTTTTTGTTCTCGGTTAACTTTGAACGCACAGCTGAGATCTACGACACTGAGTGAGAAAAAGATGATGGCTTTCGAAGACAGGAACCAATTGAAACATCAAAGGATCATCGATTCTCGAATCTGGGGTTGGACTTGGCGTCAGGTGAAAGTGTTTGGCATTTCGATTTTGGTGGAGGTACGCACGATTGAGTAAGCAATTGCATTGGACACACGCCGGACTCAGGGGTTAGTTACGTCAAGAAAAAGGTACGTACCGACGACTCTCAGCTCAGGTTGCTCGGCCCGGAATTGGGCTGTAACGTCTCATGCTGATTGGCTCACTCAGCCCGCCAAGCACTTGCCGACAGCTGATGGGGAATTGTGCACGTTCCATCGAGGCTCCATCAAATGAGAAAAATCTCCACAACTGCGCAGGCTCCAACCCGTGACATCAGGAAGGGAAGCGATGCAGAATGCCCTGCAGCTCGGGGCGGCTGGTGCGTTTTCGTGCCTACGTACCCACGCTGTCCCAGCACTGGACCTGCCGCCGGTGCCAGCCCAGGGCTCGGAACTCGACCCAAGAGGACTGGAACGAGGTGCCTGGACAGTGGTAATTACCCAAGTACGAACGAGCGCTGGATGCACGGATTACAGGATGGCCTCGGAACGCCCACCTGCCGGGCTTGCACAGTCCTCACACTTCCAATCCACCTCATGTTGCTTTGCTGCCCTGCCATGCCCGTATGTTCCATGTAAGCGTCGGTACCTTACAGTACCTCGAATCCGCACCCTGACTGACGCCTTACCTAACCAACTAGGTAACCTACCCGCTAGAACTCCAACTCAACCTTACAACTTTAACATTACATCTCGCGCAAATTGGATTACGCCAGACCCGGCTTTTCTTTTAGTTCCAGGTTGGCGCTCTACACATCTCCTTTCCATTTTCTTACCTACCTTACTTTTACCTGTACAAATCATTAATTCCCTCCTCTTTTGCGCCCTCTTCGGCGTCTTGTCTTAATGTCGTTCTTGCTGTTGTTGGTTTGACCTGTGCCGTTGCCCCCCTCCCCTCACCAGTCCGAGCGACTTCTTTAATTGCGCAGCTCATCGCATGACTACGCCCACCATGGACGACCTTTCGAGAGCAGAGTATCCGGCGATGCTGGTAAGCCTGGTGTTTCTCTCCCGAGTTCTTGGAAAAGCAATTTTAACCATTGACTCTGCTCTAGGCCAGCCTCCAGCCCAACCAAGCAGTACAAATATTCTCGGACCGGGTCAAGCGGATCGCAAAAGTCAACCAGGAAATTGCGGACTGGCTTCAGGTACGAATGCGCCGACCGCCCGAGAACAATCCGCCACCGATAGGACAACGAAACTGAAGAAACAAACCACAGGAACGCAGGAGAGTTGAGGAGCAATATGTTGCCGGCTTGCGCAAGTTGCTTCTCTTCAAGGTTCCCAATGCCGCATCTGAGCTAGGGTTCGTCGCACCACTCCCCGCTCTCTCACTCCTCTTCCCCCTCAGAATTGCGATTCCGATTCCGATTCCGACTTCAATCCCGCCCTCGCTTCCTAATACAGAGCACTGACAATGTCCATTGAATAGTGTCTTTCAAGCACCATGGGACAAGATCCTCTCGTCGACCGATGGAATTGCGGCTTCTCACCAGCTATACGCCCAGCGCATCGATAAGGATGTCGAACAACCCCTTCGCAGCTTCCAGTCCCGCAAGGAGATGCAGAACATCAACACCATCAATGCCAACCTTCAAACAATGGCAAAAGAGCTCGACGATGCTGCCGAAAAGTCCGAAAAGCTTTCCAAGAAGGGTGGGAAGGCCAGGAGCCAAAAAGTGGACGCGGCCGCATCGAGACTGGAAGCTGCCTCGCAACAATGGGAATCGCAGGCGCCGTTTATCTTCGAAACCCTCCAGGCTCTAGACGAACAAAGGACCAACCACCTACGCGATGTCTTGACTCAGCTGCAGACCCACGAAGTCGACCAAGCCACTCGGACCCAGGCGGCAGCGGAGGAGGTGTTGAACACGATGCTCGAGATTAACACTGGCCTGGAAATCCACAACTTCGTCTCCAAGGTTACGGCTGGAAGGCCCAAGTTTGAAAGGAGGACGACCACGGCTAGACAATCGAGCTCTGCTGGCGGAGGGAGCCCGCCCGTGGGACCCCCTCCGGGCACTCCATTGCACGACGATGACGGCATGAGTCAACACTCCGGCTTTAGAGATCAGTCAGGTATGTGTGGCGTTTTTCATGGGGATGCGCTATCGGCCTACTAACCAATTGAAATAGATTCGAAGCTACGCAGCCGTATTGGAACAATGCTAGGACGTCGAAGGCAGAGCATTCATGGGGGATTCGGACAGTTGGGCCCCCCCAAGGCCCTTGGCGCCTTCACTCGCGGCCTTGGTAGTAGTCATGGTCAGACATTATCTCCAGGGGGGTCTTCTCACAATCTGGCAGAGTCCCATCCTCACAGGCTGTCGTCCATGGCCGAAAGACCCTCCACCTCAGATGAGCGGGTGAAGAGGGACAACATTAATGATTTCTTGCATGGCGGTACAAATGGATTCAACTCTGGGGATGGACAGGCCGAGTCTAGCCAGCCACGACCGACTCCCAACAACCTCACCAATGGTACAGCTGAGAATATTTTCGATGCCGCTCCCTCGGCACCTCCCGCCTCTACCCAGCAGTCAGAACCTCAAGAGGAGCCTGCGAAGGATGCCGAGGGTTATACCATTCCTCAGTATTCCCACGACCCCATCGCCGAGGCCCAAAAGGAGGCGGCCGCTGAAGAGCCTGATCACTTGTTCAAGCTCAACATCCAGAACGAACCCATTGCGGAAGAGGACCAAGATGCGAAGCAAGCGGCCCTGTCGAACGTCGCCCATACACTCACGGCTATGGGACTCCCGAATCGCAAGGCAGGAACTGTTAGAGGCAGGAGAGATGTGCGTCACACCATGTACATACCTGCTATGCCAGTACCGGATCACCCCGAAAATCCTTTCCCCTCATCACCATCCCTGCCAGCTACAGCTTCATCCATTATTAGGTCTACACCACCGATAACTCTGGGCTCAGAGCCAAGCCGTGCCTCGCATGCTTCCGATAATCAGTCTATTCGGTCTGGAACGTCATATGGAGCGGGCTCAGCTTACGGTGGCATTGCACATCTGAAGCATCAGGACATCCACGGACCTGATTTTGGACCAGGCCTACACTCGTCCATTATTGAAACCGTCTCCGCTCTTTTCCAGGATGGAGAGGCCAAGTCCGTTAAAGTTACTGGTGAAATCGCTCTCTCATACAAGTCCGACCCTCATAACCTCCAGACCGGTATGTATCATGTGACACGTCATGAAAGCTGTCCAGTTTGGCTAACGGTAACTGCAGATAATCAAATAATACGTCTCAACAACTTTGCTCGCCTTGAGTCTATTGGACCCAATCGCCTCTTTGTTACTAGCGACGCCACTTCCCCGGATGAGTTCACCATTAACACCTCACACCTCACGACTGTATCCACTCCCGCTTTTACCTACCGAGTCCACGCCGAGAACGATACCGCCCTCGTGTCCTCTCACTGCCCGATCAGCATCAACCCCGTTTGGAAACCCCAGGGAGATAAGCTTGGTCTTTTGCTTCAGTACCGCGTCAACCCCTCTGTGACGTTGCAGCGCCCTATCGTCCTGCACAACGTGACCTTTGTCGCGACTTACGAGGGTGCCCGCGCAAGTGGTGTCCAGACCAAGCCTTCCGGCACCCACCTGAAGGAGAAGCATCTTGTGTACTGGAGAATTCCCGAGTTGACACTGACGGATGACTGGGCCAAGATCATCTGCCGGGTAATTGGCGAGCAAAACGGTGAACCACAGCCTGGGCACATTGAGGTCAGGTGGGAATACACAGCTCCTCCGGCAGGCGAAGTGGGTAGCGGCATTTCGGTATCGAGGCTCGTGGAAGGCAAGGGCAAGGAAAAGGCGGAAGAACAGTCGGAGGAAGAGGATCCATTTGCGGATGACAAGGGACCGATTTCACCTCCGCTGGGTAAGGACGGCAGGACGTGGGCTGAGGTTCCTCTGTCGAGAAAGTTGATCGGCGGGAAATATGAGGCCAAGTGAAAGTGAATAGGGGGATAAGAGGAGAAGAAAATTGGGACGGAGAGACTGTGGTCATCTGTGTAGCCATGTGACGAAAAGCCATATGAAAGGGTAAAAAGTGGCTATCTAATCTTGTCCGCAATCTATCTCTCCATGTAATGGATATCATCGTACTTTTTTATTTGTTTTGTTATGGTTGGTTTTGAACTAACGTCCTAAGGTACGATGTTGGCCTGTCATCCTTATTTTTTGCATGGCACTTCATTAATTACCTACCTTACCCATTTTTTTCATTTCTTTTTGTCATAGTTGTTACCATCATGCTCCAAAAAAAAAATACCACTCACGATTAATCAAGTTTAGATACTATGGGCGGTTTATTGTTTATTTTCGCATCTGGTTGTCTGGTGGTAAGGCCAGTTTGGAAAATCTTTCATTCTACCTCTTTGATGATGACGATCTACGTGCCCACCGTCATCGTTACAATTGGCGGTTGTCATTTGTCAACGAGAGCAAAGAAAAGCTAGGTGACTAAAGCCATGGCGAGATGCTTAATAAATAAGGGGGCCGGGG